TACACCTAATACATCACACTTACTCGAAATCTCACTTATCAGATTCCATTGTGGAAGAGATATAGAACAACATATAAGTTATCATACTTGCATATCCAGTCTTTTTGGTGGGTATCCTTAATTCTCTCATCTCTTAATTGAAAACAAATCCAGTGTTTCACTAAGATTTCGAATAGTGGTCCAAGTCCACGTCCAAGTACTTGGTACTTCTTGGATTGTAATTGCTCAATTTGAAGGATTTTGTAGGTTTATTGATCAGGATTTGACAGAAGAAGTTTCTAAGTTTTCAAAAGTTGTTTTTATTTATTATGTGTTTTAATTTGACAAATTTGATTTGTGATTGGATATATAAAGAATTTTTTTAAATATGAGTGACAACTAATTTTAGAACGAATTACACTTTTGGTTCCTATAGTTTGTCAAAAATCAATTTGTCTTTTATAACAGTTACTAACTTATGATGTTAACTGAAACAGCTATGAGTGTTATAAAATTGAAAAGTCAAAAACTATCAAGATAGAGTTTATTTAAAAGAACAAATCCACTCTAAAGATTAAAAATTTCTTGTGGGATTTAGTTTTTTAATTTAAAATATTTCTATAATTTAGATGTTATAGATTTAAAATAAAAATGTTATTTATTTTAGTTGTAGGGGGTGTTTGGGTTTGCTTATGAAAACTCCTTATTGACTTGTTTCAGTGTGGTACTGCGTAATAAGTCATTTTAAGTGTTTGGATGAGGAAGAAAAAAAAAGTTGTTTATACCAGTGCCAAATCGGTGATAAGCAATTTTTTTATAAGTCAATCTCCCCTAACTTATCAAATTCAACTTATTAACAATTAACATTTTTAACCCTTTTCTAATACCCTTTCCAGATACATAAATCAAGCTAAAAAATGATCTTCATGATCGAATGACTATAACCCCAATGACACAAACGAAATTCTAACTAATGACAAAATTCTCTGATTATGAACAACCCAACTCTTAACTGGGGAGAAACCTGTTTGATAACAAGCGAACCAGATGGAGAGATAACGATGTAGACGAAATTGAGATTGTCGTCCCCAACTTCTTTGATTTCCAGGTTATCAACTTGATTCTCGAGCTTCGAAGCCAAAGATGGCATGGCTTTTATATATCCCCTCAACGACTTCTTATCTAGTATGCGGATCCCCTCCTTGATCATTTCTTTCGATTGGTCTGGTATCGACGGCAGAAACAAATGTTGTGATGGCTGAAGATGTTCTGTTACAATTGATTGACCTAGTTTTAATTAATAAGCAATCCCTAATATGGAAGAATGCCTTTTTTGGTTATTTTACATGTATAAACAAAATTTGTCAAACACTAAAAAAACAACTTATCAGCTTATTGCGTTTTGGTACCGTCGTAAGTTAATCCAAACATTTTTTGTAAAACCCCGATTTGACACCACCTAAGTTAATAAACACTTTTACAAAAAAAAAAAAGCATAAGTTGTTTTAAATAAGCAATCTCAAACACCTCCGTAATGGAGTTTTTATGGGTGGATAAATACAATGATAGAATATTCTGTAATATTAATAAAACTTAACATTTTAGGTATAATAGTTATTTATAAACTTCAAATCTAAAATATTATGTGTTTAATATGTTTTTAAGAGTTTAATTTAAATATATTATATTATTACTAGAATCGTATATACATAACACAGTGAGATACATGTCGATTTTAATGTTCCGTTTTAAAACAGTTTGAAAAAACGGTAATGTTTTTGTATTTTGAATAAAATATAAATTTGAAGACCCATAAAAATTTCTATCAATATTAGTATCAAATTAACAATTTAAAACTTTTCGTTTTTTGTATAACTCTTTTAATTCAATTTGTAGTATAATTTAATTTAGTTTTAACAATAAAGTAATTTATTTTAGGTCTAATAATATGATATTTTTTTATAAAGATAATTTTTAGTTCAATTTTTTTGTTATAATTTAATTTAGGTTTAAGAAAAAAATAAATTTATTTTAGGTTTAATAATATAATTTATTTATAAATATGATAATTAAGTATTATGTTAAAACTTAATAGTTATATTAAGTATACTTTAGATTTTTTATATTTAAACTAAGATATTTATTTGTATTTGATTATGTTTCTCATGTACTCGTGAAGCGTCTACTTGTAAACTCAAATTTTAAGTAATATACAACATTAAAGTATAGATAACATTAAAAAGTACTTGATGCAGTAAAAATGGAGTTTTTAAAAGTTTTACCCAAATGTTTTATAATATAATATAAATAAAACATTTATATAAAATTCTTAAAGATAACTTATTATGTAATATGTCGACACTATATTATAAAACATTTGAAAAAACTCTTAAAAATTATTTTTTATGCATGAAGCATTGTTTATTGATGTATATTATTTAAAATTCAACATTACAAGTAAATTGTACGTAAGTACAATTTATTAAAATTTCATGTTTGAATTAATTAAATGCAAATAAACATAATCAAATAGAGCATAAACATCTCATTTTAAATATAAAAAATCTAAAATATAATTAGGATACACATTGACTTCTAATAAAATATTTAATTACTATCTTATAAAAAATTATATTATTAAACCAAAATAAAAAATAAATTATAGAAATACACAAAAAAAAAATTAAATAGTTAGTTTGGTACTAACATCAGTATTTTTTTATGATATCTTCATATTTATATTTAATTCAAAAATAAAAATATTATCGTTTTCTTAAAAGCACATAAAATCGTAGTATTATAACATCAACTTAGACAAAAAAAAAAATTAAAATCAAGATGTATCTCACTGTATTGTGCAAATATCCTTATACTATTACTTAAAAATGAATAATTCTTAAATTTGAAGTTTACAAGTCTTATCTATCTACAAATTTTTAAAGGATTTTAATTTCTATAAAATTAACTAATGATTAATTAATAAACATAATTAAATATGAGATAATCATCAACGCTAGCTACTAACATATATTATATGCCATTATCCTTATTCACAACAACAAATGTTACATATTTAATTATCTTTATCTATAATATATTATAAAACATTCGACAAAAATTCTTAGAAACAACTTTTTATGCATAAAGTACTGTTTGTTGATACATATTACTTAAAATTCAAGATTATAAGTTAATTATGCGTAGATACAACTTATTAAAACTTCATATTCGAATTCATGTAACTAACTACAGATAAACATAATCAAATATTGGATAAACATCTCATTTTAAATATAAAAAATCTAAAATATAATTAAGATAATCATTAAGTTGTAACATAATACTTAATTATTATCTTAAAGAAATTATTTTATTAAACCAAAAATAAATTAGTTTGTTTTTAAAATTCAATTAAATTATAATAAAAAATTAAATTAAAGAAATTACACAAAAAAGAGGACTTTTAAATAGTTAATTTGATGCTAATATCGATTAATTTTATCAAAATTTTATAATATCTTCAAATCTATATTTCATTTAAAAATAAAAATATTTTTTTTTTTTAAAATCACATAAAATCGTATTATAACATTGATTGACCCAGATTATAAAGCAAAATATTAAAATTAGATGTATCTTGCTGTATTGCACGAATACCTTCTAGTTCATATAACAACTTCATCATTAAAACAAGAACAAATTTTTATTTTATTTTAAATTTAAAACTTCAACATACGTTTAATTAACTTCTTAATTTTTGTTTTATTCAAATTTAAGTCGTTTTAATAAGAAATAATACCAATTTTTAGTCCTCGGTTTCTATTAAAAATATTGAATTTCATTATATTATAGGAACTAGAAGTGTATTCGCATAATGTAGCAAAATATCTCTCGATTTTAATGTTTCGTTTTAATATTTCTCTAGAGATGTTTTTTCGCCAAATGGACTAACTCATTTGCCACTAAACACCCATCAAGAATCTGCCTTCCGGGGATAAAAGCTGTTTGGTTTCCGGAAATATGGTTTTTATGTGATATTCAGAAAAGAATAATGTTTTTTATTTTTTAAATAAAATATAAATTTTAAGATATCATAAAATTTCGAAAATAAATATATCAATATTAGTATCAAATTAACTATTTAAAAGTTCTTTAATTCAATTTTTTATTATAATTTAATAACGAAGTAATTTGTTTTTAATTTAATAATATAATTTTTTATAAGAATAATAATCAAGTATTATGTTAAAATTCAATGATTATCCTAATTATATTTTTAGATTTTTTATATTTAAAATGAAATGTTTATCTTGTATTTGACTATATTTATCTGCAGTTAGTTACACAAATTCAAACATGAAGCTTTAACACGTTGTACTTAACGCACACTTTGTTTGTAATCTTGAATTTTGAGTAATATGCATCAATAAACAGTACTTCATACATAAAAAATAATTTTTAAGAGTTTTTATCAAATGTTTTATAATATAGTATATATAGACAACTAATAATATATTATATATAAGTTTGCAAAAATCTTTTGAAATGAAAAATTAACAACAAAAAACAATAACAAATGAGAGGGAATTGGTGAAACTTGAATGCTAATAAATACACAAATAAATCCCATTTTCCCAAGAAACAAAATCATAACATTTCTAATTGAAATTAATGTTCCATAATTTCCAACTTGACCAAATTTATACCCATTTATTTGATTCTTTACTATTACTTGAAAACGAAACGGCTTCAATTCTTCAAAATTATTTGAATTTTAAATCATAAATCACTTGTAACTATCAATTACGAGATATTCTCAATTTTCAAACGGCTACACCAACCCATGACTCTGACGTGGCAATGATTGGCAGCTTTGGACTCTCCCAACCCTAGCTCCTAACCTAACTTGTATAAAATGCAGTGCTTACCCGTCTTTCTCAAACTGAAAAATCTTGAATATTTAATTTCTTGTTTTAATTGTTGGAAAAATGGGTTTGCTTCCATCTGTTTTCTTCGGGGGTTTAATGTTTTTGTCGATGATTCTCGGTGGCTCCGAAGCACGAGAGTTTTTGGTCGGTGGAAACGAGAATTCTTGGCGTGTCTCTACTTCTCCTAATCACTTGATCCAATGGGCTGAAAAAGAACGATTTAAGATTGGAGATTCTCTTGGTAATTTCTTTGTTTTAAAGTAAAAGCAATCGTTTATTTCTTGTATTTTTGTAAAATGAAGGTGTTTTTGTTTCAATTTATATATATATATATATATATATATATATATATATATATAAACATGAAACCCTATGTCATATTGAAGGGATGTTCATGTTAAATATCGAATCTTTTTGACATTATTATTATTCCATTAGGGTGTTTTCAATGACTTCTTTTTCGTAATCGTTAACATTGGATTTTATAAATTTCAGTGTTCAAATACGATTCAAAAGTAGATTCCGTGTTAAAAGTGGATGAAGAAGACTACAAGAAATGCAATAAAAACAAACCCCTCAAAGAGTACCATGATGGTAACACCACGATCGTGCTCGACAAGGCCGGACCGTTCTTTTTCATTAGCGGGTTTACCGGACATTGCGACAAAGGTGTAAAGCTTGAGGTTAAGGTTTTATCTCACAAACATGGCTCAATCGGTGAATCGTCTCCTTCTATCGCTCCTAAACCTTCTCCAAAGGAATCGTCTCCAAAAATATCATCTCCGTCCGTATCTACTCCGCCAGAGTCTCCGAAAAAAAGTGATGCCGGATTGAATTTCAGGGTTGATATTTACACCGTGGCGATGGCTTCAATGGTTGCAATCACAATGGTTTAAAGAAAATATTTAGGATTATGTTTTGATTAATATGTTCTACGTTTAATTTGGCTTTATTTTCTAGATATGTTTTAGGGTGGATTAAGTTTTGAAATGTTCGGTTTTGTTTGTTAAAAACTTGCGTTAAATTTGATTTGATTTGATTATGTCTTAGACATTCTTGTACGTTTGTTTATTCTCGGTCTTTTTGCATGTCATAAAAATAGTTTGGTGTTATTGAATCATATGAAGTTTGTGTATGCTAATGACCATGGTAAACAAATCTACGTGTAACATGGGATTTGTTAACCTAAAACGGTTTTCTAGGGTTTAAGCTTTAGAACGGACTAGCAATATCATATATCACTTTAACTTATGTGACGATTATATATCTAAATATAATACTATTACAGTGCTTGTCTACGTTGAGAAGTTATCAGTAATTTCTCTTTTTGACTCTTTACCTACGACATTTGATTTTTTGTCATGCATTAGTTTTTATTTATAGGACATTTGTTTTATTAGATACTTTCGTCAAACACTTGTTTTATCAAAAATAAAAAATGATTATATTTCAAAAAAAAATTGTTTAGTATATTATTGAATCCAATATGTTAAAAGAAAACGTTTGACTAAACCAAGGTTTTTGGATTGGTTATTCTTACTTGTGTTATAGCATCAAACATAAAGAATAACACTTTAGAGTTTTGAATGATATTTTAGCAGGGATTAGGAGGCCGTTTACCTAAACACTTACTCGGTAAGTACTTAACGGTAAAATTCAACACTATTGCTTATTTGTCGGGTAAGATTTTATTCATTAAAATGCATCGTATGCAACAATTTATCCTCGTAAACGTTAACCATGGTAAGAGTCATCGTTTTCACTTACCGAGTAAGACTCTCGATTCTTGCTTTCGTTCTTACCGTGTAAAATTATTAGTCTTTGTCATATTTATCCGGTAAAGTAAAGTGACTTGGTAAGCGCTTACCCGAGTAAGCGTTTGGTAAACGACACCTAATTTTGAAATCAGTTTTTAGAAATAGGGGTCAAAACATAATTTATGTTAGACTTAAAATATAAGGATTCGCCTCTACTGAAAGAACACGAGTCTCATTCATCAGGTTAGTATATATCGATCATAACTGACATCATTATTGTTACAATCAAGCAATAATCAAGTTAATTAACATGCATATATCTATATTTATACTATATTATAAAGTATTTGACAAAAATTCATAAAAATAATTTTTTATGCACGAAGTATTGTTTATTGATGCATATTACAACATTTTACAAAAACTAATAAAAATAATTTTTTATGCATGAAGTATTGTATATTGATGCATATTACTTAAAATTTAATATTACAAGTAAATTATGCGTAAGTACAACTTATTAAAGCTCCATGTTTGAATTCGCGTAACTAACTGCGGATAAAATAGATAATAAACATCTCATTTTAAAATATAAAAAATCTAAAATATAATTATAATAATTATCGAGTTCTAACAAAATAATTTATTATTATATTTATAAGAAAATTATATTATTAAGACAAATATAAATTACTTCGTTATTGAATCTAAATTAAATTATAGTAAAAAAATTACATAAAAAATATGAATTTTAAATAGTTAATTTGATACTAATATCGATATATTTATTTTTGTCAAATTTATATGATATCTTCAAATTTATATTTTAATTAAAATATCATCGTTTTTTTCAAAATCACATAAACTCATACTATAACATCGACTGAGATAAAGAATAAAATGAAATATTAAAAAATCAAGATGTATATCGCTGCATTGCACGAATACTGTTATAATATAACATAAACGAGCTCCTTGTTAATTCTTAATTAAGTCCAAGACAATCTCTAATCACAATTGGAAACAATATACGATGGTTGCAAAATCAGTGGCATTGAGTCGTAGTTAAATTTCGATTACCTTCATTAATTGACCAGTGGTTCAATATCGACCACAAAATATCTAGTCTATTTAAGTTAGCAGCAATAATAACTACTTCAGTTATTTATAAAAAAACAATCTATTAACGTATAATTCAACATTACTGTAAAATTATAGTTTATTTTAAGGCAGTAGCAGTATTCCACAACTTCTTTAATCGTAAAGTTTTGATATATTTTAAATTTGAATCTGGTTTTTCAATTGCATGTAGTAAAGATACATTAAAATAGATCAAATAGTTATAGAATATTTCTCTATAAATTATTGATTACTAGAAAGGTACTCGCACAATGCAGCGAGATATATCTCGAATTCAATGTTTTTTTTTCAGTCGATGTTATAAGACGATTTTATGTGGTTTTGAGAATATGATAATGTTTTTATTTTTAAATAAAATATAATTATAAAGATACCATAAATAATTGAAAAAAAAATATCGATTTTAGTACCAAACTAATTATTTAAAAATTTCTTTTTTGTGTATTTCTTGAATTCATTTTTTTATTTTTGGTTTTATAATATAATTTTTTATAAAAATAATAATCAAGTATTTTGTTAGAAGTCAATGATTATCTTAATTATATTTTATATTTTTTATATTTAAAATGAGATGTTTATCTTCTATTTGATTATGTTTGTCTGCAGTTAGTTACACGAATTCAAACATGAAGTTTTAATAAGTTGTACTTACACACAACTTACTTGTAATTTTGAATTTTAAGTAATATGAATCATTAAAAGTATTTCATGCATAAAAAATAATTTTTAAAAATATTTGTCAAATAATTTATAATATAATATAGATATTGGGATTTGAATATTCTTTTATATTATTTTAATAAAATAACATTAAATGCCAAACAAAATTTGTTTACATTTAAGAGTAAACTACAAACTTAGTCCCTATAGTTTGTGAAAATAAATATTTTTTATCCTTATAGTTTTAAAATTACAAAATGATCATATAATGGTTTGTAAAAGTATCCGGATTTGACGTCTGCTCTAACAGCCATTAAAATGGAAAACATTTTTGTCATTTTATCCATTTTATGTCTTTTATCCAATAAAAAACGACATGAACCAAAATCATAAAATCGACTTTGATCAGAACAAAAACAAAAAATCGATAAAATGCCGTACGTTTAACTCAAATATTATAACAGATGTGAGAGAGATGCCTCAAATCTGATCGTTTTTGCTGACCACGATGACCGTTTTAGAATTTAAAAAAATGTAGAGGGAAAAGGTTTGATTTGTGATAAAAACAGGGACCAAATTTGTAGTTTACTCTATCTTGTAAAAAGTTGATGTTTATGTTTGAATCTGAATATCTGATGATGGGATACGTTTACATCGGACCTTGCCACAAATAAGGAAACATCTTCGAAGATTTATTTGGGTCCCTTGGGCCCTGATTTCTCTCTCGCCATTTTAGCCCCTTTTCTCTCCCAATTAAACACCTCCGATGGTGGCGGTGTTTTAGTCCGGCGGACATTTTTCAACTGTAAGTTCAGTTCTCACTCATGTTTCTGATTATTGTTCTTCTGTTGATGTAATTGATCACTGTATTTGATTTTGATAGTCTTCAAGAAAACAAAATTGCGGTTAGATATGTTTTAGGTTTTGAGTTTTACTTTTTCGATAGTTCAATTCTGTTTTTGGTGGACTTAACGAAGATGAATTTTGCCAACACATGATCATCGTCTGTGAATATACCGGATTTCGTCGAGTTTTGTGATAAATTGGACCAGTAAAAGTATCTGAAATGAGTTTAATCGTTTTTTTTTTATGAATCGGATTCTAGAAATAGTATCGATTGCATCAATTTTGGACGGTTTTAACCAACATAAAGTATCGGACTGAGATGATCCGTCGAATTGTTCTTTCCCTCTCTTTTCCTCATCCAAATCGATCATTTATGTTAGTCACTTCGATTAAAATCGGACAAGAGTAATGGGATTGATATGATCGTGATTAATTTGATAGTTAAATAATTTTGGTTGAGTATGGAACCAATAAAAGCCTAAAATCATAGACATTCATCTATTTTGCTGGGTGGACAATGGATGTTTTAGGGTGTGTTAATTCACTGTCAGATCGATTGTTGGACATCTAATTGCAATTGCATGAGATTGAAGTAGAACTAGGTTTTGTTGTCTCCATAGGTTTAATCTGTGGAAAGTGGAATCTTGGATGTGGTTCACTGATACTGCCTGATTTAGGTTCCAATAAGAGGATCACTAAAGGGTTTTGATCTTTTGGAGCCAGCCTCCAATGAGACAATCGGTAAAGGAAAATTAACTGATTTTAATGCAAGAAAGTATAAAGAGAGAACGTAAGTGTACAACGCTATAGAAAGTTGGTGTATTCTTCATTCTCGGCATTTATGGGAGTTTTTCCTAAAAGACTTTGTCATGAAATCTTTGATTGAGACTCATAGGGCCCTAAAATGCATCTTCGGCGCCAATTTAATAATTTATTAAGCTTATCTCAATCTCTCTTAATTTGTTCCACCTATTTTGGTAGGGCAGAAAGAATGCCTTGTTGTCCCACTCGTCCAGTCCAGTCCGAGTCCAATTGTCGCATCACATATGGAACAAGAAGCTTTTGTTATGTCTGGTACCTCTGCATACCAAACGCACCCCAAGGGTGTTGGTCTTGCATTAGTTCCCTAACCTCATACTCTTTTGTTGGTCTACAGTTGGATTATTGGATTTCTGTGTTACGATTGGACAAAATGTTCAGATGTGGATCAAAGTCCCAATTTATGAGGTAATTTTTTCTCAAGCATCCCTTTGGTTACAGAGAAAAATTGATCCATGAAACCAGTAGAGTTATTGTATTTGTGTACTTATTTCTAATTTTGGGATGCTTCATTAATTATATAATTGCTTTCTCCATTTTGCATTTACAGGTTGGATGATTTAGATTCTAGATCATCATCACCTTCTTCCTCAGTTGCCTTAAACAAACATGGATTTGAGGGAATAAGTCGTCCGAATCATGCAACTGCAATCCCCTCAAAATCTTTCAAAAAGAGAATTAGGAAAGGTTCCGAAGGACTTATATCAATTGGTCGATCACTTGGATTTGGAGTTTCTCGTGCTGTGTTTGCAGAAGATCTTAAGGTTTCAGAGAAAAAGATCTTCGACCCTCAAGATAAATTCCTTCTCACATGGAATAAGTTTTTTGTTGTCTCCTGTATTCTTGCCTTATCTGTGGATCCGCTATTCTTCTATCTTCCTGTCTTTGATCAGTCTAAAACTTGCCTTGGGATAGATCGAAAGCTAGCCATCATAGTCACAACACTGAGGACCATGGTTGATTCCTTCTATCTTATTCACATGGCACTTCAATTCCGAACTGCTTACATTGCCCCATCATCACGGGTTTTTGGACGTGGTGAACTTGTGATAGATCCTGCACAAATAGCTAAGAGATACTTGCGCTGGTATTTTATCATTGATTTTCTTGCTGTGCTGCCCCTGCCACAGGTTAGATACCGAATTTACCAGAGTTCACATTTCTATTTTAGTTTATCCCGAAATAAATGTCCACTTTGAAAACAAATGCCTACTTGTCAATTCTACCCTTAATAATGAGATGGAGAAATTCATTACCTCTTCTATTATTAAGGGTAAAATTGTTATTTAGTGAATTAAAGAGTGTAATAATTACATATTTCGAAAATTGTCCGCCTTTTTCATTGTGGACATTTATTTTGGAACCAAGGGAGTAGTTAATTTAGACGAACTTATGGAATATCACACAACTTAGAGTATCAGACTTTTTCACTTCAACATCATTTTCTCTGCCACTAGTTTCCTTCCTTTGAAGTTAGCTGCTAAAAGTAGAGACAGAAAGTGTATTAGGGGATGTTGAAGTTCTTGGATTACATAACCAAACCAAACCCATTATATATATCCAGAGTATGAGCAATAAGGAAAAGAAACATACTAAGCAAGACTATCACACAGGAAAAAGTAAACAAAAGCAGAAAAAGGCACAAAGGAAACATATAAGAAGTAAGAAAACACACGCAACCCTCCATCTAACGCAGGCCTCTGATACCCTAACTGACGGCTCCCTAATAGCTAAAGAAACAAAATCTTGGAGGACATATCTATATATTATGAGCTTCCCATATGTGTTAAGTTACACATATGGCACCACTTCAAATAGGTAAAGAAATAAAATCTTGAAGGATTCTTGATTTTCCATTATTTTCTCAAACCACAAAGAGCCTTAATGCATTATTTTTCTCTTGTTCTGCTTGGCAATTTCTCTTATATTGTTTGCCCATCCATTGGTTGTAGAAGTTTTCCATCCTAACAAGAAACTTGTATAATTGCTATGAGAACTCCGTTGATGAGGAAAGATTTTGACTGTTCTTCTATTAGGATTTTAACGGCCTCTCTACCCTCTAGGGTAGAGGCAAGGTCTGCATACATCTCACTCCCCAACCCTACCTTTGTGTGGGATTTGTTTGGTTTGGTTTTGCAATTTTTACCGATCAGTAAGAAATATGCAGGATACGTGGGAGAATTTTGTTGTTCGGTTTTACATCATTTTATAATATTGCAGATTGTTATCTGGAGATTTCTACAGAGGTCTAGAGGTTCAGATGTACTGTCTACAAAGCAAGCCATATTTTTCATTCTTTTACTTCAGTATATCCCCAGAGTTGCACGAATCGCGCCTTTGACTTCGGAACTGAAAAGGACTGCTGGTGTTATTGCTGAAACTGCATGGGCCGGTGCTGCTTATTATTTGTTGCTGTACATGCTTGCTAGTCATGTAAGCTACTGTTTTAGATGGTTATCCATGTTTCTGCTACATTCAATGTCACTGTTCTAATAATTCTATATTAGGAGGGTGGGCTCAAAAAGAACACTAAAAAAAGGAGAACAAGGGTACTAAATCCGATCCATCCATCTATTCTTAATCCAAAAGCTGTGAATGATTACCCGGGGGGTTACATTTAGTCAAAACCGAATCCATGACTATAGAGGCGGTTACATTCAGATCTAGGCCATCTATTTTTTAGATCCAATGGTAGATAGCAGTTCCCTTGTTCAACTTTTCTTCGGGTTCTCTATGGAACTTCCCTCTACTATTATTATGCCCTTGAGGTAACAATATATAAGATGTGTGATTGTAAAGTCTGGTGAAGGTGGATGGTGCCTGGAGTCGAATCCCAGACCTTCCATTCATTCTGCAAGGACGTCCACCTCCTTACCCGTTAGGCTAAAGCAGTGGGACATCATTCGACTTGCGTTTCATTGTAATGGAGCTTGAATTAATTTTTTGTAATATCAACCAATAACCAATCTCCTCCTGTTGGTATATAATAATTATTCGTACCCTTATGGTTAGTAATACATGAAGATTTATAGCATATTTTATTTAAACCTGTTTATTCATCTTTACAAAATTTGGACTTGGTGTTGGTGCATTCATTGGTACAAATGAGCCTTAGGATAGTTTTTCTTAGCTACCTGTTAAACTTTTTTTTCCTTTTTGCAGATAGTTGGGGCCTTGTGGTACATATTGTCTGTAGAGCGTAATGATACATGTTGGCAAAGAGCTTGCGAAAGAAGCAATCACGATACAAATTTCTTGTATTGCGGAAATGACCACATGCCAGGCTACGGTAGCTGGAGCAATATCAGTAGCTTGGTTTTAACAGAGGCTTGCACCCCAGATGGTGACAATCCACCATTCGATTTTGGAATTTTCCAGCAGGCTCTGTTATCGGGAATCGTTTCATCAAGGAAGTTCGTATCCAAGTACTGCTACTGCCTCTGGTGGGGGCTGCAGAATTTGAGGTTAATTGATTTCTTCAATATTCCTCTGTTTATAATCAAAATTTGCTTCCATAAAAGAACCACAATGAACATTCAATAACCTTTCTTTAATAGAAATACGGATCTTAGTTGGAAGTGTTATCTACTAATAAGATTTTTGTTTGTGACAGTACTCTTGGGCAGGGGCTTCAAACCAGCACTTATCCTGGAGAGTCTATATTTTCTATTACACTGGCCATATCCGGGCTTATTCTGTTTGCTCTGTTGATTGGCAACATGCAGGTTAGGCTATGAACATATATGATATAATGAACAAGGGGCAATGAGAACTTGAGACCCCGGTATTTATGTCTTATTCATGACGAATGTCGTGATGGATATTCATGAAAAAAAATTATTCATAATGAATTGATACATGAAAAATAGTTAGTTCCCAGGTCCTCAAAATATTTATGGTTCTTTCAAAATGATATAATAGTTGGATATGGATGTGATGGTTTGATAATGAGATTAATGGTGTTTGTTTGATGGTGTAACAGACATACCTTCAATCTCTTACCATCCGTCTTGAAGAAATGAGAGTGAAGAGGCGTGACGCGGAGCAGTGGATGCATCATCGATTACTTCCGCAGGATCTTCGTGAGCGTGTAAGGCGGTATGATCAGTACAAGTGGTTAGAAACTCGTGGAGTGGATGAAGAGAATTTGGTTCAGAATTTACCCAAGGATCTGAGAAGGGACATAAAGCGTCACCTTTGTCTCTCTTTGGTCAAGAGGGTGGGTAACTTGGGAACTCTTTGGTTGTTTTTCCATTAAACTATGTATGGATTAAGCTATCTGTATGGATTAAGCTGGTGACTTCCTTTAATTTCAGGTTCCTTTGTTTGAGAAGATGGATGAGAGGTTGCTTGATGCGATTTGTGAACGACTAAAACCGTGTTTATACACGTATAATAGCTACATTGTGCGAGAAGGAGATCCGGTGGATGAAATGCTGTTCATCATACGTGGGCGGTTGGAGAGTGTAACGACGGATGGTGGGAGAAGCGGTTTTTTCAACCGGAGCTTGCTTAAAGAAGGAGACTTCTGTGGAGAGGAGCTCCTAACGTGGGCACTTGATCCGAAATCCGGTTCTAACCTTCCATCTTCAACTAGAACCGTTATGGCTCTGAGAGAGGTGGAGGCGTTTGCATTACCAGCTGATGAGTTGAAATTTGTTGCCGCGCAGTTTAGGCGGCTGCACAGCAGACAGGTACGGCATACTGCCAGAAGACTTGGATCATTTCTTCTATGTATATGTTGGAACCTCCTCCCTTCTCTACCAAGAGAAATGTTTTTAGTGAGTTATCTAATGGGGTTTCATATATTCTCACAGGTACAACACACTTTCAGGTTTTACTCACAGCAGTGGCGGACTTGGGCGGCATGCTTCATTCAGGCAGCATGGCGGAGATATTGCAAGAGAAAGCAGCGGCGCAAAGAGGAGGAAGAAGAAGAGGCCGCCCTCGGTGGTCCTCGCAGCCTTGGTGCTACATTCTTGGTCTCGAGATTCGCAGCCAATGCGCTTCGTGGGGTCCAGCGGAACCGGGATCGGGACCGGAATCTAAAGACTGGTGGGGAATTGGTGAATTTACCAAAACCCCCAGAGCCTGATTTTACTGCTGATGCTGATTAGCTCTGTTGTTTGTTAATGTTGACAGTCCTTGTAGACTTGCTGTAACTGTAACTAATGGTGGTAAAGACACCATTTCTGTTGTGCCTTATTCTGCATTTGGAAATAGGTATGGCCTAAAAATTTTCCAACTTTGCCCCTCTTATTGAAATAGGATGCTCAAATTGGGTCCGAGACTAATTGGGACCGGTTATAGCGGTCTGGAACAGTTACAAATTATACCGAATTTCAAGCTTAGGTTACCCATTTTTCATTTATTTTTTCAAGTTTATATCAACTATAATACAAGTTTTTTTTTTTTTTAAATCAATGTTTTCAAGTTCTTCAAAAAAAATTAAGTATTTACGGTCTATTTCAATGCTAAATTTTGAAAATCATAATTAATAACATATACGTGTAAAAAGATTTTTTTATAAAAATTGGGTCGGGCTTGCAGGGCTTAGGATTTTTGGTCGCTATGGGGACCGGCTAGCCCAGTTTTGAAATGAAGAAAGGAGCGAGGCCGATTGAATCCAATCCGGAAACGTATGGAATCAGTTTCATTTGGCTCTAGACTATGATTTGATGGAGAATGATTTGAGTGGTACCACCCACCCTTCCCTACCACCCATAGGCGGCCGGTTGTCCTCCAGCCGCCCGAAAAGGAACCGCCTATCGAGAGTCATCTTTTTATTAACATTAACCAACATTACATGCACTTTGTACCAATTTGGGACCAGTTTAGCCTCTGATCGGTTTTTGACCATCTCTAATTAGAAATATGGGGTTCTAATTTCTTTTTAGTTCAATGATTTTTATCTAAATCCTATGTTTGTGGGATTTCAATTTCGATATAAACCAAACGGGGTTGAAATGGAATCTAATTTCAAATCTTGCGAAATTCACAAACCAAAAGCGTTTGGTTTTGACGAGATGTTTTTTAAGGATTTGGAATGAAATTTTTCATTCCATTCTTTACGAATAATTTATAAAATATCGTTACAAAACAAATCATATGAAATCCTCGGATCTTAATTCCGGACTTTTATTTAAATGAAATACAAAATTGAAAAGAAATCTAATTTTAAATCCAGCAAACCAAACGGCACAAAGTATTTTTGTATAAAAAATATATTGTTCATGTTAAAAAAACAAACTAGAAAAAAAAAATCCTTTACACAAATTAACAATTTCTTAAATAAAAAAAGAAAGATTGTTTTGGTTTGGTTTGGTTTGGTTTGGTTTGTTAAATAGTACAAAAACAACTTGTTCCATGTTGTCTTAATTTTATAAAACACCATACATTAACATTACAGAGTAGAGAGAGTCAGTAATCAGTTCAATCTGATCCATATAACAATCACTCGACTCTGAAATCTGAATAGGGGTTTGCCATTGTTAGATTAGATCCATACCACATCCACATGGAAACAGTTATTGCACTATTTGAGTTTAGACTCGGAATGAGACGGGTCGGCCTGGTTACAAAGTGGCCTCCTTTGGACCGGACCACAATGATTTGGGCTTCGTTGGCCCAACTTTCATCATCTCTATTCTGATTCTCTACCGCTCCTAGTCAACTTCACCATTTGTTAATATATATTTTTTCACTTAAAAAGGTCCGAAAGTATAATACTAGTTTAGAGAGACTAGCATTGCATCTTAACAGTAATCGTAGATTTCATCTTATATCATAAAATGAAAATGAGTAACGTATTTTACTCTATGTAACAAAGTCCCAAAACCTTCATTTCAAAATCAGATATTTTAATATCTGGCTTACATATGATAATGAATGAAAATACAACGCATTACTTTTCGTATAACATTATAAAATATTGTAATTGACTAATTTTTCAAGCTATCATTTTACATCTCGTAACTACCAAAAATATAAAATTATGAAACGTATTGTTTACTTTTTGTGGTTTTTTAAAAACGTTTTATATAATTAAAAAGCATTTTATAATAACTATTTAGAGTATATAAAAAATTTATAGAGATGGGTACTGACTACCAAAATTAGTTAGTGGGCAGTTGGATTATTTATTAAGCAATCTCTATATTTAAGCAATCCCCATCCCATATTCCCATTGCCTTAAAAAAAACAGTTTAATTTCAAAAAAAATTAACCATTTTAAATCATACTCACGTAATGTAGCATGATATATCTCGATTTTAATGTTTTGTTTTTTATTGTCTCAGCCGATGTTATAATACAGTTTTATGTGGTTTTGAAAAAACAGCAAATACCTCTCCATTTAAAATAGAGTTTTTGAGAATTTTTAATTCAATAGATTCTATAAATTCTCCTCCAACATAAATAAAGAGGAAAAAGAAATTTAAATACCTCTCCAAAAACACGTCATATCTACAATCGTAAACTGGTTACGAGCCTTGGATCTAACTTCTCCTTTTCAATGGTATAATTTATTAAGGAGGGTGTCATAAAAATCGGTTATCAAATAAAATCTACGTGCAATTCTTATTATAAAGAAACGTCATATTTACAATCGTAAACCAGTTTAATTTTATAGATTTATCAAAAAATGTTCTATTGGAGAAGCTATTACAAATGGTGTAGTTCATCAGCGTATTTACATTCTTTCTCGGGAAATGTTCAAAACAGTACAATCAACTTTTTTATTTTGACTGATTAAGTTCTTAAACTATTTTTTATTTTATTTTAAATGATTAAATACTTGAACGTTTTTTAATAAATAAATCATTGAACTTTTAAAAATTGGTTATATACATTCTCAAACCATACTTACAGGCTGTTTACCCAAATGTTTATTCGGTAAGTGCTTACTTATATGAGTCAACACTATAATTTATTTTGATGAGTAAGATTTTAGTACATCAAAACGTATTAAATGCAACAATTTACCGGGTAAGCGTTTACTTGGGTAAAAGTCATAATCTTCATTTACTGGGTAAGACTCTCCATCATTTTCATTACTCTTACCCGGTAAGATTTTTGACCCTTGTCATGTTCATCCAATAAGAAAATTTATTCGGTAAACACTTACCAAATAAGTGTTCAGTAAACAGCCCCTTAATTCAAACCTCTTGCACCCAATGACATCACTTCCCCTCGCATCCTATGGTCGTCTATTCTTTATATTGTCAATCGTAGCTGTTAGACCCTGCCCCGATCTCCCTCTTTTTGATCTATTCTTTTATCTTTCAATTCTTCTTTTTTTACATCAATTTAAAGAAATATATATAGATAAATTAAAAAAGAGGGAAAACCGAAAAATAAAAAAGAGGATCAAAAAGAGGCAAATCGATGGTAGAGACCAATGACGACGATAAACATTGATAGAGAGCGGACGACGATGGAGCAACGAGGGGGAGCAATAACATCGGGTACTAGGGCTATCTGATTTAGGGGTTGTTTACCTAAATACTTACCCGGTAAGCACTTATCGGTAAAAATTCAACACTATCGCTTACTTACCGGGTAAGATTTTATTCACTAAAACGTATCGTATGCAATAATTTATCCCGATAAGCGCTAACCATGGTAAGAGTTTTCTCGTCCTCACTTACCGGATAAGACTCTCGATTCTTGTTTTCGCTCTTACCGGGTAAAATTTTTAGTCATTGTCATATTCATCCGATAAAATAAAATGACTTAGTAAGTGCTTACTTGGGTAAGCGTTTGGTAAACGACACCTTAGTTTTTATTTTTTGAATTTCCTAACCGATTACACGTAGCTTTTGGAGGTTGAAAAGATGTTAACCAATTTATAAAACTTTGATTGTTTATTTATTAAAAAAAATATAGGGATTTAATCATTTAAAATGAAAAAAGTTCAATAATTCAAATTTTCTTTTAGGGATTTAATCACTTAAAATTAAAAAGTTCGTTAGGTTTTATGTATAAAGCTCTTCCCAATAAGCTTATTAAATAAGTCATTTTTTATTCATTAAACCATTAAAAATAATAATTTATAACCGATTAAATAAGCTGTGAGATAAGTTAAAGCTACAAACAAAAAACCCTTTATTAGTTAAGGAAACAATAACTAATTAATTTTGCTAAAAAAATAATATTAATAATCTTATAATTACTTTAAACATATTGATTTTTATTACAGATGAATAAAATTTAATATGGTGAAGTGTGTACAAACTAAAAAGTCAAAACCGTCGATCATATCCATATAAAGAAAGGGATCCAACGGCTGTCGTTAGTTTAATCTTCTCCACTCTCCACTCATCTTCTTGATCCCCAATTGGATGCAGGTTTTGCCATTAAAACCAAACTCACAACTCAGACCCGAGAGAGAGAGAGGGATTTACAAGAGAATTTGAGAGATTCATACACAGATTTGAACCAGATCTGAAATCTTTCATCTTTCCCTTTGATTCATGATATGGGTAACCGATCGCATCTAGGGTTTCCGATTCATCACATATGGATCTGTGTTTTTCTTCTTTTATCCATCCATGGACACTCCTTCTACCTTCCTGGTGTCGCTCCTCAGGATTTCTTCAAGGCAAGAAATACTGTTTTATCTCAATGTTATATTTCTACTCTATTCATTCTAGTTAGGGTATTGCTTATTGCTCATTAACTGTGATTCAAGTAGATCGTTCCACCTGTGTGGTATTTTTATTGATTTGAATGTAATTGTGGAAGAATCTGATATTTTGTATATTCTTCATGAAGATCCATTGGTAAAAATTCATTTCTGTATGCATTAGCTTGTGTTTTTTCATTAATCCGACAAGATACATAAAAAATGGAAACTTTTGCTGGAGTTTTTACTTGGTATGGTGATCTTATATCTTTGTACAATAGCATTCTGTTCTTGATCCTGCCTCATTGGTATCATTGTCTTCTGAGATCACAGCTTCTGATTATTGTGGTAACACCATGTCTATTGCATGTCCTTGGTGTTTTTAGTTCTTAGCTACTAAGAAAGAATTTTGGATGATGTATGTTATAACGACTAGGTCGGCTAGATTATGTTCAAGAAAATGATTTAATTTCAAAAGATGAAAAGATAACAGTTGGGCTTATTAGCTTTAGGACCCCACACACTGCTAATAATGCTTATCGAGCAGATCTTCCCATATGTAAGCCCCTGTATGGCCAACAAGTGGGGCCCTACTTGCTGTATGTGGAGAACCTCTTGCTTATTAACTATCAGTGCTGTACTCCTGTATGATATCGTTAAATACTACTACCCCATTTGTATGTGTGTATATGTATGCACACACACAACAACACTCGTAAAAACAACTTACAGTTACAGTTATTAATAAATAACACAAAGGGCAAGATGGAGCCCCATGTTTAAAGTTTTTCTTTAAACAAATGAAAATCATTCAAAATTGATAGTGTTTGCTAATTCCGAATTCAATGAGTAAGCATGTGTATCTTTTTGTTATTTTTTCTTTGATTTAGATAAACATCTTTATGTTGATAAACCCGATATCTCATGTATAATGTTTATCTCAAATTAACACAAATTTGTAGAATGGAGGACAACTGTGTGAACATGAAATTCAGACAGTATAGTGTAATGATAAAATGGATGATAAACCATAGTCAATGGTTAAAATGTTTGTATGTCACTAGGGGGCAGCTAGGTGTCACTTTTCTTGATGTTCTGCTGTACGACTTAATCTAGGTGAAGTATATCGAATAACCCATGTTTTAAATGTGAAGTTAAGTGTTTCCTATATATGTCTTAAAGCTTATATGTGAACTGGAAATAAGCCTGTTAATATTCGGATAGACTTCTGAACATGCAGCATCTCTCTGTTTACATATGCACATAGCTCATAAGTATATACTTTGTACATTTTGGTTGCATTTGCACTCTAATCAACTTGACTGATTGGTAAGCGACAATATCCTGGTTTCTTTGTTATCACAGGCTGCAAAAACATGTTTGCCAGTGGCAATGTGGCACTGTCTTATGCTCGAGTTTTTTTTTTGAAATTCCTGCTGATAAGGCCCTTGTTATCAAGTGTATAAAAAGTTTCTGTTTTGTGTTTTAGGGAGATGCTCTGAGGGTAAAAGTAAACAAACTCGCTTCTACAAAAACCCAGCTCCCTTATTCTTATTATTCTGTCCCTTATTGTCGCCCAGACAAGATAGTTGATAGTGCTGAGAATCTTGGGGAAGTTCTTCGCGGTGATCGTATAGAAAATTCTCCCTATGAGGTAAACTACAGTTTTTGGAGATTGCCTGTCAGTTATGATCCTTTTTGTGCTGTGTGCTAGAGTTTCCTAACCAAAGTTACTTTGCAGTTTCAAATGCTAGTGCCACAGATGTGCAATGCTGTATGTCGTGTAGTACTAAATGAGAAAACAGCCAAAGAATTTAAGGAGAAGATAGATGATGAGTACAGAGTTAACATGTGAGTGCTGAACACAGGAGTTTGAATTGAGCTATTATATACTCCCTCCCTTCCAAAATAAATGTCCACAATTTATGAAAACATGGTTTTAAAATGTGCAAGTTGTTAAACTTTTTAATTAACCAAATTACAATTTTACCATTGGGTAATGAATTTCTCCATCTCACAAGGGTAGAATTGGAAAGTAGCCATTTATTTTTTTAAGTGGACCACTTTTCGAGACAAACTAAAATAGAAATATGGACGGAAGGAGTAGTTTTATACTTCCAGTTCTTCATGTAATTAATTTTCAAGCTTGCATGGACAGGATATTGGACAATCTACCTCTGGTTGTACCCATGACAAGGATGGAAAAGGATTCACCCATTATATATCAGCATGGATTTTTTGTCGGACGCAAAGTACAGTATGCTGGAGTAAGCAACATAAACAGCCTTCAGTAACAAGAGCAAATTTAACTTCAATTTATCAGCTTTGAACCAGTTAAGTGTTTTTTCTAACTTGTGATTATCTGCAGACAAAGGAAGAAAAGTATTTTATCAACAATCATTTGACATTCACAGTCAAGTTTCACAAGGACATTCAAACAGACTCTGCAAGGATTGTAGGATTTGAAGTCAATGCTTTCAGGTAATAGCACTTAAGAGTTTTGTTGTTTTGATAATTGATGCATTACTTTAGTGGTAGCCTGGTAGCTTTATGAGGATTGTATTTGTGGGATTGTTTGGTTGGATCCAGTGTCAAGCATCAATATGATGGCCAATGGAGCAGAAAGACCCGTCTAACAACCTGTGACGCACATGCCAAACGGATGGTCACCAGCTCTGACCCTCCACAAGAGGTCGAAGATAAGAAGGAGATCATCTTCACTTATGATGTCGATTTCCAGGTCAGTCTTACGTTAAAGATATAGCACAACTATTACTCCCTCTGTCCCAAAACAAATATCCACTATGAAAAAAAGACACAGGTTTAGAAATATTTAATTATTATACTTTTTAGTTAACTAAATGACAATGTTACCTTTGGTAATGGAGGGGATAATGAATTTCTTCATCTCACAATTTTACTTTTGAAAGCGGACACTTTGGGACAAACTAAGACACTTATTTTGTGACAGAAGGAGTATTATTAATTCCAATCAATATTGTGCATTTCTTTTGATCTACAGGAGAGTGATGTCAAATGGGCATCCAGATGGGACACCTATCTTCTAATGGCAGATGATCAAGTTCACTGGTTTTCAATTGTGAACTCCCTTATGATTGTTCTTTTCCTATCGGGTATGGTGGCTATGATCATGTTAAGGACGCTTTACCGTGACATCTCCAAATACAACCAATTAGAAACACAAGAAGAGGCCCAAGAAGAAACGGGATGGAAACTGGTTCATGGCGATGTTTTCCGTCCTCCACCTAACTCGGATTTGCTGTGTGTTTATGTCGGAACTGGTGTTCAGTTCTTTGGCATGATCTTAATAGCCATGATTTTCGCTGTGCTAGGATTTCTCTCACCATCTAACCGAGGTGGGCTCATGACAGCCCTCCTTCTACTCTGGGTTCTCATGGGCATCTTTGGTGGGTATGCATCAGCTCGCCTCTACAAAACGTTCAAAGGAACCGAATGGAAAACAATCACCCTTAAAACCGCTTTCATGTTCCCAGGAATCGCCTTTGCCATTTTCTTCGTCCTCAATGCTTTGATCTGGGGTGAGAAATCCTCCGGGGCAGTGCCATTTGGTACCATGTTTGCGTTGGTATTCTTGTGGTTTGGCATATCCGTTCCACTTGTTTTTGTGGGAAGTTATATTGGTTTCAAAAAGCCAGCAATTGAAGATCCAGTGAAAACCAATAAGATCCCTAGGCAAATACCTGAACAAGCTTGGTACATGAGCTCGGCTTTCTCCATCCTGATTGGTGGTATACTTCCATTCGGGGCAGTCTTTATCGAGCTCTTTTTCATACTAACATCAATTTGGTTACAGCAGTTCTACTATATCTTCGGTTTCCTTTTCATCGTGTTCTTGATTCTGATCGTGACTTGTGCCGAGATCACAATAGTGCTATGCTACTTCCAGCTTTGTAGCGAAGACTACCTCTGGTGGTGGAGATCATATCTAACATCAGGTTCTTCTGCTTTATACCTGTTCCTATACACGATCTTTTACTTCTTCACGAAACTGAACATCACGAAGCCGGTTTCTGGCATATTGTACTTTGGGTATATGCTGATCGCGTCATATGCTTTCTTTGTGCTGACGGGCACGATTGGTTTCTACGCGTGCTTCTGGTTCACAAGGCTGATCTATTCATCAGTGAAGATTGATTGATTGAGTAGTAAGGGGTAATATAGGAGGAAATTAGGAAAAGGATGGTGGATGTTTAGGGATACTTGTTTTGAATTTTGGTCTGCATAATTTGTATGTAGAGATTTGAGAGGATTCTGAAAGTTGGATGTTTTGGTTCTTGTTTATCTATCAATCTATCTGTTTGTATCAGGATTATTCTTATTCTTCTGTGTGAAGTTTATTGTCTTCGTCTTACCATATGGCATGAATCTTGGCTCTCTTTCTTCAATGTCAAATGCTTCCCTTTGTTTTTGTTTATTTACCCCTTTTTTTTTCTAATTGAACCAAACGGTCTAAGGATTCCATTTAGTGACTTGTAAAATGTCGGTTTTTGAATTGAATATGATTCTAGGGACTAATATCATATTTTAATTTTAAAAATTATATTTCATAAGTTAGAGTATTGGTATTTGGGAAATCTTGACTATTTTGGTTTAAAAGGAACGCATACACACGAACAACCCTAGTCGGCTGCATATAAGTACGTAACTGAATACGCTTAACTGAAGCTTGAGTCCGATAGAGGGCAAGGTCTAGGACCGGTTACATACTTAGGTCACTGGAACCATTTTGTCCATGTCTAAATATACATACACATACATATATTAAGGGTTGTTTACCAAAATTTTTATCAAGTTCTGTATGGATAAATTTGTCTGTCTGGATAAATGAGTGTTGTTGTTTACCTTTTTTTTTTATTTGAACCAACAGTCTGAATAACATAAATGATCGATTTACCCACCAATATTAATTATTTGAACATCAAAACAAAAAATCATAAAGAAGCCGAAGGTGGAGTGTCTCATATGGAAAAGAGGAGGTGCTTTAAATAAGGGGTAGGGTGTCATCTATGCGATTAAGTCATGTTCTGTGCGAATAAGCCGTAAGTAAACAACCCAAATGAGTTGTGCAAATAAGCCAAATAGACCAATAAATCTAATTAAGCCGCAATTTTACCCTTTGAAGAGGGACCAATTAGTCTCTATCGGCTACGATTTCTTTAAGAATGGATCATCATAGGTTTGCTTTTTCCTAGTCAAAAGTATTAAACTAGAAAAATCTACCGACCGAAGTGGACCGAATCATAAGAAGTAACCACTCTTATAACTTGTTTTTATTGGTTCATTGTGGGGTATAGACCAATTATAAAGATTTAGCCGTAACTGATTTTTGCCCGTCTTTTTACAAATACATATATAAATACTAAAAAGGTACTCGCACAAAAACACATATATAAATACTAGAAAAGTACTCGCACAATGCAGTGAGATATATCTCGATTTTAATGTTTCGTTTTATTTTTTTGGTCTATGTCGATATTATAATATGGATTCATGTGGTTTTGAACAAATAATAATTTTCTTTTCTAAAATATAGATTTGAATATATCATAAAAATTAAAAATATATATATAAAGTGTTCATTTTTTGTGTAATTTCGTTAATTTAATTTTTTATTATAATTTAATTTAGATATAATGATGAAATAATTTGTTTTTGGTTTAATAATATAATTTTTTATAAAGATAATAACTAAGTATTCTGTTATAACTTAATAATTATCCTAATTATATTTTAGATATATTTAAATGAGAATTTTATCTTGTATTTGATTATATTTATCTACAGTTAGTCACAAGAATTCAAATATGAAGCTAAATAAGTTGTGCTTATGCATAATTTACTTGTAATCTTGAATTTTAAGTAATATACATCAATAAACAGTACATCATGTATAAAAGATGATTTTTAAGAATTTTTGTCAAATGCTTTATAATATAGTATAGATATGCAGTTAAATTAAAACAATAAAATACTTGTTTTTATATAATTTATTTGACTTCAATTCTAAGTATATTTCAAATTAAAAAAATAAATAATAATTTTTTTATATTCCAATCCTTGAAAATATAAAAAAACATGGTAATATATTATTTGTTGGACGATTTTGAACGTTTAGTTTTCTTCTTGCAAAAAGATCAACATCAAAAAAAGACTTTAACCATGTTATGAAATAAATATTAAATATTGTAATTAATTATTGGAATTTGTATTTTTAATAATCTTAACTTTGTAATTATACAGTCTCGTACTATGGTAGTATCATGATACCGACTTATAATTATTTATTAGTTTTCGTATTTTTGACATATTAAACATTAAATATCGTAACTTTAACTTTTTTTATTTGAACGTTTAAGTCTTTAAATATTAATATTTATTCTTTTGAATTAAAAAACTCTTAAACGTAGCATGTGTTATGTGCAAACTCAAAACATCACTTAAAATTTGAATAAACTACAGGTTTTCATATGGGGATGAGATCAGTACTGTGACCGGAACCGAAACGGTTGGTATCAAAAAAATTTGGGGCTGAAAACGACGACCAAAAATTGTACTGTATGTACAAATTCAGTACCGGTTCGGGTTCGGTTTCGGTTTCGGACCACTTAGGACCGAATCATCGTCGACTACCACATAAGAGGTTTCCTCAACAAACGTATTATCTCCCTAAACAAAGAAAACACATTAAACTTATAATCAATATTAAATTGTTATAATATCAACCAATAATCAACTCAAAAAAATTAGTTTATGATTGACAAACATATTTTAAAACTTATGGTATACAAAAACTTGTGGTATATATAAACTTACTTAAGTTTCATCCATGCACGAGCCGACTTTTTTTGATGATGATAGGTCGATTTCTTGATGGTGTGATACTACCGATTTTTTGATCGTGATATTGTAGGGCCGATCTTTTTTATGGTGATACCGATTTTTTGATCAAAGTAATAGAGATGGATTAGTTTAGAAAATAGTGGGATATGGAATAGTCACATAATTATTGGATTACCCGGTTCGGTTCAGTATTTTCGGGAAATTCTCGATACCGAACATTGAATATCGACTTTGAAGTATTCTTGGGACCGAAAACCGAACCGATTACATGCATTCGGTTTTGGTTCAAGAAAAGGATTCTTTGATTTTATGTCTATTTTCATATATGTAACTTGAAGTTGGTATAAAAAATCAATGTTAATATATACAGTTCTAAAAAAGATAATGTTAATTAAGTTATACATAAATTTACGCCTATTTTTTTTCATAAATAATTAACGGCACATAAAACCAAAAAGTAGGGGAACGGCATCTACCAATTAAATATTTTATTTAGGGTGAATTGCATTGGTGGTCCTTGTAGTTTACTTAAATTTTGGATTTGATCCCTAAAACAATTTATTTACAATTGTGGTTACTAAATTTTCATTTTTTTTATAACATTCATGGTCCCTTCACTTAACAATGTTAGTTAGCAACCATTATAAAAGACTAATTGGTTTTTAAACAAACTTTAAGGACCAAAAATGCAATCTGCTCTAATATATAATGTAATTTACGTTTTTATAAAATAATTATTATTTTATATATTTATTCCAAATCAAATATCTTAAATAAAGTACATATTAAATAAAAATCTTTATATTTATTTAAATATATAAAATTCACATAAAAAATCAGCATTAAATAATCTCAAGTTTAGAAAAGCAAAAGAGATCGAAAAAAAATTCATATATATTTTGAGTTGAGGATTGAAATATGCGAGCAAAATATTGGAAATTAAGTTTGGTTAACTGAAATTATTAATATATATTTAAACTACAAATAATTACAATAACAACAAAATAGAAATTATAAATTAAGGTTAGATAAATACTAATTATTTAAACAATTAAGAAAAAAACTATCATTACAACAAAATTAGGTTTATATGACACCTAAAAAATTAAGTGTTCTAAAAACCGATCTTTTTTATAAGACGTTTGTTTTTATAGAAAACTTTTTTAAATAGTGTTAATGCGACACTTTTTTATCATAAGTATTCTAAAAACTTATTAGAACGTCTAAAAACATTCTATAAATTTATTGTAATACATTTAGATAGTACACTTTATTTATCTAACCTTAATTTTTAATTTCTATTTTGTTGTTATTGTAATTATTTGTAGTTTAAATATATATTAATAATCTCAGTTAACCAAACTTAATTTTCAATATTTTGCTCGCATATTTCAATTCTCAACTCAAAATATATGTGAATTTTTTTCAATCTCTTTGTTTTTCTAAACTTGAGATTATTTAATGTTGATTTTTTATGGGAATTTTATATATTTAAATAAATATAAATGTTTTTATTTAATATGTACTTTATTTAAGATATTTGATTTGTGAATGAATATATAAAATATTTTTTTAATAATTTTTTTTATAAAAACGTAAATTACATTATATATTAAAGCAGATTGCATTTTTGGTCCCTAAAATTTGTTTAAGACCAATTAGTCTTTCATAATGGTTGCTACTCATGTTAACCGAACTTAATTATCAATATTTTGCTCGTATATTTCAATTCACAACTCAAAATATATGTGAATTTATCTCAATTTTTTTTTCTTAACTTGAGATTTTTTAACGTTAATATTTTTTGGGAGTTTTAAACTTTTTAAAATCAATATAAAGATTTTTATTTAATATATACTTTATTTAAGATATTTAATTTGTGAATGGATATATATAAAATATTTTTTAATAATTAAAAAAAATGTGAATTACATTATATATTAGAGCAGATTGTATTTTTGGTCCCTAAAATTTGTTTAAAGACCAATGAGTCTTTCATGATGGTTACCAACTAACATTGTTAAATGTACAAACCATGAGTGTTATGAAAATAAAAAATTAAAAACTACCAATAAAGATAGTTTATTTTAAGGATCAAATCCAAAATTTAAGCAAAACTGGATATCAAAAAGTGTGATTCACTCTTTTATTTAAGATATTAATTTTAGCAGTTGGAATTAAAATATTGAAAATAGTAGGTCAAAGTTGGTCCGCTGCCCGATTTTATTCGTATATTATACAAAATTTTCTTCTCTCTCTAAATATACGATTTCTTTTTATTAATAAATATAATTTTAATTAAAAAAACGTTCATATTATTTAACTAAATAATTTTAATATTTCAAGTAGGGATGTTTAACGACGAGAAAAAGTTTAGAAATAAAAAATTATTCTATTTTGAATGGTTAAATTATTAAATTAATTTTTAAATAAAAATATTATTAAATATTTTAATTTGAATGATTAAATCTTTATATTATTTTTGTATTGAAAAAACTATTAAAATTTTTTATTTTAAATG